ATAGTGCATAAAGCTAATCTAAGACTTGAAAAGAGGAAAAGGAAGGATATACTAATATGTAGTCATAAACAGTTCTGAAAAAATTATTTAGGGTAGGGCCCGAGAAGAAAAACAAAGGTAAAAAGATGAGCTTCATAAATAGCCTCAGTACTATGAAAACAACTTAATAATGAAAAATACTTATTTGTGAAATAGTTTTGGGTAGGAAAAATAAGTGATAGACACTTTTTCATTTGAGTCTTTAAAGGCTGGATTGGACAAAATGCAAAAATACACTCCTTGGATCAGTATGTATTTTCTACCTTCAACTTCTCTTGTATTCTATTCCTTTCCTAAAGAAACAATCTTAACTACAGCTTTCATGTCTAGGAGGCAGAGGAGTTGTTTTGTGAGCTGGGTTTTCACTATTCAGTGTCTGCTAGGGGCAGAACCCACATATCACCTACTCTATTTCTATTTGTGCTGGAGAAAACCTACATATGGAGATAATCGCACACTATCACTCTCCTGGGAGAATCAGTGTCTGACTAAGCTATGTGTAGCACCATTACAACCGTCCCTTAAGGCACTTAATTGCATATCATGCAGAAAATGGACATTTTCTACCATTTTTTTCAATTTGAATAGAAAATCACCCGCTTCAGTGAATACATATTCATTCAATATATACTGAATATCTATTCATTCAATAATGAATACTAACCAGCCTGTTTTATTCTGATGTATGAGAATTGAGCTCCTGAACAAACTCTTTTTTCCCCATTTTCTATCCTATGGTTTTTATTTATCATGATTTTGATGCACCACCAAGTCATAATATTTTTTCATTTGAAATACTAACTCCGTATTTCGAGATTGGAGAGTTTCATGAGCCTTCAGAAGGGCTCTGTCGTATAGATACAGATATTTTACAGCATCTATTTACTTCTCAATTTGTATATGTCAATATAAGCATGATGCAATCAAGGCACAAAAGGAACTCAAGTACTTCGTTAGGATGTTTTGGTTCTCTAATGTTCAATCCTTAACAGATCATCATCTAGATTTTCTGCCCTTCTCTTGATCTAGAAGGCTATCTGCCACCGCTCTCAGTGGGAGAAGGATCTGTGCCTAGTTTTGAAAATTTTACCTTAATAATCACTTAAAAAGCTAAAAATGTTCTGATACATCCCAAAGTATACAAGTCTTCTCAGATGACCAGGGGTGCGGTCTTTGCTGCAATGACTTACAGGCTGATAATTTGGGCTTAGAGTTGTGCATGTGTCATGTTGGGAAAACCAAAGGTTCAAAACCAATGAGGCTTTAGAACAATGATAAATTGCTTGGTTTGTTACCAAGCTGTTGCCAGCTTATACTTTGACACAATTTTTTGTCCGCGTTTCTGTATTGTTGTATTCTATTGCTGACCAATTAAAATAAAAAAGAGACTAGTCCTCACTCTGACACAGACCTCAATCTCTATAACTCTTTATAGCTTTAAAAAAAAAAAAACCACAAACAGGCAAACAAATCAACAGTTGCAAAATGCATTAATACTTTTCAGCACAGCAATCGCCTAAGTTCCTCGGTCTATTCATCCATAGAGTTGAACATAATGTTTAGTGATTTATTTCCCACATCAGTATAATGGTGGAGGAGGAGGAGGAGGCACACAGCTTCTGTGACAGAGGAGGAGCAAGAGGACCCTGACATGGGAAAGGGAAAATTGAGGCTGGATGGTAGGAAGTTAGACTCGTGCTGCAGTGAAGGGGTGAAATCATGATGAGGAGGAAGCTATCTGGGAGAAAAGAATGAGGGTGTTGAGGAGGAGAGGTGGGGAGACAGGCACATCTCACTTGCGGTGTGAGAGATGATACGGAAGGAGTGGAGCACAACGATTTCAGCAGGGCTGCATTTAGGAGCTGAATCTGGGACACAGTAAGGGCTTTAAAGCATGTATCTATCTGGTGGGCTTAGCTGTGGCCTCTATCTGCCTTCTTCTGCCAAGGATTCACAGGGTCCTAGGATAACTGAGGTTGGAAGGGACTCAGGAGCTCCCTAACCAAACCTCCTGCTCACAGCTATGTCAGCTTGGAGGCCGAGGCAGAGAGGAGATGGTGGGGAGAACGTGCTGGCCATCTAGCATATTGTCTTAAACCGCTTTTTCTGGAGGAGTTAATATCTTAAGTAGCTAAATGAATCTGAGGCTGTGAGTTGGAGCCCAAAGGAATTAAGGAAGAAGGAACAGCTGTGAAGGCTGTGTCTTTCTCACCGGGCTCCTGGAGTGCACTTTGCTGCCTGCTGTATGTCTTGCCAGCCAGGGAAAGCTGCAAAGCCAGCAGAAGGTAAAGCAAGTAAGCGCCAGCCTGCACTCCTGAGGCTCACAGGCTCCCTTCATACCCCTCCTCCTCTGGCCCATCATTTCTAGTGAGCCACTGTCTGTGTCAAGACGATCTGCCCTTGGTTTCTTTGATTTAACCTGGCTCAAACCCATCCTGCAAATGGAAGAACATAAGAGATTATTTAAAAGTCAAGCTTATGGAGCTTAAACCCCAGAAAAATAACAAAATAAAAACAAAATTTAAATATTGCCTTGGGCAGTGTGTAATAACAAGGTGCTCCGTGCTCTCTTGGCTGTGCTACTGTAACTTGCTTAAAATTCTGACCTGAAAGTAATAGCTGGAGTTTGCCAGGCTGCTGCTGATCAGTCATGTATGTACTCTAGCATCTCATCAGTTTTGTGTGACTGTTCTCTGCTTCTTTGTTTAAATTTACCCCATTTGCTTTTATTTGCTCTTTCTTCAACTTTCTTTTGCAGATGAAGTTGTGGTGGTTATTCACAGAGACAGTTATCTTCTGTGTTTAGAGTCTCTCCTGGGTCTCACTCTTCTCACCTTCTTGGTGCACTTCCCCTCCTACTTCGTTTTTTGCCAATGCCTCCAATCCCAAATGGTCTAGTATACATTCTCAAAACCTCTTCTATTTTTAGATTCCTCTACACATTACACATCATAAAGAGCATTAATTATACATACATTCCGTTAAGCTCATGATCTCTTGCGCATTACCAGCTATCTCTGGAGAGTTTGCTGTATTTGGATGCATTATTAAAGCAGATGACAGGCTGAGTGACAAGTTTCATTATCTGGCTGCATTCCAGCGCTTCTGCCAGCCTTAGAGATTGTGATCCCCCAAGCTGCCATGTGTCATCTCCAGAGGAGTAGGCAGCACAATTTTGGGCATAATTCATCTCACCCCATATTGGATGCCAACATTGGAATTGAAGCCTACATTGCATTTACTAGATCTCTGCTGAATGCGGAGAGCCCAGACAATGGAGTACTCAAAAAAAAAAAAAAATCACTAAGGCATCAGTTTGTTAAGCAACAGGTCTTTGCTGTGACATGACTGCCTAGGTGGGTGGGCTAGGTGGGGTTTGGTAGAGCTATGACAGCAGGGAGACAGAGCAGTAATTAATTCTGGCACTATCTTGGGTTGACACTGCTTCTTTCGTGGTTTTTGTCCTCTCTCTTTTCTACACCTAGGTAGCTCTGCTATTACCAGTGTTGCCTGGATACCAGTGTCTTTTCTCTAGCAAAGTTGTCACTGAAACATTAAATAAAGAAAACTCTGTCAGGCAGCTTACTTTCAGTGAGGCATTTTCAGTTGAAGATTCTTTTATTGTGCTTATTCATTTGCATAAATCTCCATCACTCTTGGTACAGTTCAAATTTATGACTGCTGCTGTATCTGATTTTCTACTGTCTGGATAACTGAGACATGATTCTGAATTCCAGTTCTCTGTTTACCTCTTGGTAGAAACCTCTCTAGATTTATCCAGAGTACATCTACTAGCTAACCACAAATTAAATTTTCCATTAGAACGATAGAGATAATGAGGCAAAGACAGTTGCAAAAAGGTAGAACTGTTATTTGCAAGAATAAACCACAAATTCCACACTGTAGGCAGGATGCTCTTGTAACAGCATCCCATGATTTAGGTTCAACATGTCCCTTCACTGTCCCTCCTGGGAAGGGTCTTTCTTTGAGATTTCTAAATGAATCTAACACTACCAATGCACCTTTCCCAAATGCCTTTCCTCATCTCTTTCACACAGGAACTATTCAGCCTCTTTTCTTCTCATTAGAGGTAGATTCTCTAATGTTGTGTGCTGGAATAGAGCTATCTTTCCCAGGTGGCCAACAGTCTCATCCATCTTAAGTCCAACCCCTTCTGCCTCTCTAGCACATGGCCACACTGAGCTGCTTGCCGGAAATCCTGGCGTGACCACTACTGCTGCTCACTCCACCACTGCTGTGCATCGCAAAGAGGCAGGGCTAGGAGCTGGCAGGGTAGATGCAAGAGCTGAACAAGGGCAAGAGTTGCCCAGGGAACAGGAGGTCATTTCCAGTGCTCACTTCCATTTTTCTCCTTTCTCGTTACTAGTCACTCTAGAAGACTGTGGGCAGTGCTCCTGTATGGTACATATCTTGGTTCTTCCACCTGCATGTTTGCAGACTTCATGACCACTCTCTTAGTTCATACTAAATACTATGGCTTGCTTCCTCTCGATTGTACTGCTGCTACTCATAAGCTTCTAATAGACTGAAGTTTAACGCAGCCGGATTTTATTCCTCTGTGAGGCAGTTTGCCTCGAGCAAATCCATAGAGTGAGTTGATCGCAAAATTGGGAGTGCAACGGTAAGGCTGATCGGTGCCCAGCTTTCCTGATGCTTCCACATATGACTGAATCAGAGCAGTTTACGCAGTGTCTGCGTGGGAGCCGAGAAGGGTATTGCAACTCTTCAACCACGTAAGAGCCTCCTGGATACGTTTAAAACCTGATAAAAACTGATGGTTGGTTGGTTGGTTGCCGGAATGGACTCCTGGCTGGTTATATCATGGTATGGTGCAACAATAACAGCCATGAGATATATTTAAACTTGGCACAGGGCAGCTTTTTGCTATAGCACTTGATATTCTAACAAATACAAAAAATGTCTTCTGATTTCTGTTCTAGGTGGTGCATTTATTTCTGTCTTATTCCTAAAGAAAACGGTGAGGGCTGCTGATATATTGGGTAAGTAAGCGTTTGCTAATACGGACATGTGTGTCGCCATATGCTTAAGCAAGCTGTAACTCTCACGCAGCCCCCACCTTCACACTCCCACTTTCCCGAGCAAGTGTTTTGGGGCAGATACTTTCAAAATTGGGAAGAAGTGACAGAAAGAGAGAGAATCTTCAATGCATGTGGAAAAGACTACATTCCTAAATCCTCTGCTCTTATAACCATAATTCATTCCTTGTGTATCTTTATTGCTCAAATTTATTTTCATTGTCTATTTTTGCCTCTGAGGTTGTATTTAGTATTATCTTTATGAGTACAACACAATTTTAATAAAAACAATGAAGTTATTGAGTTATCCATTCATATACAATTTTTTTTTTCTTACTGTATAGGCATTGCACAAAAATTCAAGCTCAATTAAAAGTGACAAGTTCCCTTTCAGTATTAATTTTATCACCTCAAAGAACAAATAATCATGTTGTCAAGTGTTTTATTGGGAAACATGGTCTTCCCTGTAAAAGCATGTCAACTTTTTGTCTGTGTCCAAGATTTTTTTTGCATCTCAAAACTACCCAGCTTGAGCACAGTAATAGTGAGAGACAAGCATATTTCAGGGTTTGGGCTTTACACCAAGCCATCTTGGCTGGGACAGCACACCTGATGTTGCCACAGGGCATCTGATATTTCTTTGGGGTTCCTAGTGTCTAGGCTTGATTGTTCATACTATAACGAGAACATCCCAGCTGCTCCCGTGAATGTTCTGGAGAGATCTGTTCAGTATTGTTCCAGGAATACTATATAATATTTTTTAGGTTTGGGATCCAAGTTTGCCAGCTCAGCTGCTACATTCAAAATCTCCCCTCCCTTGACTGATCATGTTTCCCTTATGGCCTTATACATTGTGTGTTGTTTTAAGTAGTGTTCAGCACTGATTTATTTTATTTCTGTGAGTTTGACTTTGCAAGAAGGATTTAACAATGTTGCTACATTCCGTAGGAATGAGCTGTATGATGGGAAATATGGTGATGTTTTTGCAAGCACATAAATATAGAACAGTTCTGCTTTTCTAAAGGAATTGTGTGTGATAGCAGTGCCAGCAAAGCCCTCCGGATGTGCTTTGTTTTGTATTCCTGAGCCTTGTATTCCACACCGATTTATAGGTTTGCCAACAATTTTAAAGATTACTTGAAAAAAATAATTGATTAGCTAGTATCTTCCTTAATCCAATACAGTTCATAGGCTCATGATCAGCTCATTGAGGTATCAATGATACCTTGATGAACATCTGTGTTTGTCAGCTGGCTGTCCACAAGGCAGAACTCCCAGTTTTTCATTAAAAGCGCAATAATGCAAGTTCGACCTTGAAAAGGGGCCCTGGCAATCTAATGGCTGAACAGTCTTTTGCAAATCAACCTTTTATAAAACAGTTCATAGGTCTGCAAATACAACATGGAGCGGCCAAACTATTGGCTTCATGAGAACTTCACATAAGCATTGGATAGGAACACATGTGCTGTGCCGAATGATTCCAGGGCATGTCCATAGCTGGTGCAGATCTTTGTGGCCGCACTGACTTCGGGAGAGTTATGTTTATTTATGTTGGTTAATGATCTAGCTATCTGCCTCAGCCAGAGGCAGTTGCAAGTAAGCAACTCGTCTTTTCAGTTTAGGATAAATTTATGTGACCTGCTTTGCGCCTGTGAGAAATACGAAGGATTGATTCTCCTTTGTCATGCACGTGGTATTAGAATTGAGAATATTTGAAAATGCATTGCTGAGTTGGAACCCTAATTCATGAGGCTCTACTGACACCTTTTTTCATATTTCCAAAATCCTTTGAGTCTTTAGTAAAAATTACACTAGGTAAGACCACAAGTGCAAGGCAACCTAATTACCTAACCCCAGATCTGGTTAAACGGACTTAGAATTTTCTTCCAGAAACTTTCCAAACCAACTACAGAGCAAGGATTACAATGATTACTAAATATTGTATTACCAAAATAATGTGTCCTTTTCTTTACAGGAGGAACACTGACAGTAACAGGGACATACTTGTTGGTAGTATTCGCTCCAAATGAACCCCAAGAGCTCACAGCAAGACAAGTACAGAATTACTTAGTAAGCTGGCCTTTTTTGGTATATTCGGTGAGTATCTGATTTATACTTCTCCCTAAACCAGAAAAACTTGGGTTATTGGGATTTTTGCAGCATTATGAATTAGTGGCAGAAAAACTGCTCCTGAAGATAAATTATGTGATTTTCATAGGAGAGAGAGCAAGGCTCTGGGTCATCACCCCAGTCCCCAAGCTGAAAATATGCTGAACCAAAAGATATTTTGAACTACATGCCAGGCGAAAGTCACAGTTGTGCAGGATTAACAAGAATGGAAAGATTTTGAGTTTTGATGGGCTTGAGGGAAAACCTAAATATTGGCACTGTTTATATTTCCTGTATATGTGTTCATGCCACACTGTCTGCATGTACATCTAAGTTATGGTGCTTTTCTGAAGCGTGAGGGACTTGTGCTTTTAAAAATCAAGCTGTATATGCTCTTGGTCCTGCTTTTTTGCTTTCACATCACTCCGTTTTATCTCCATGCTGTCAAGCCTGACTGAAAGGAGCTTTGTATGGAGTTGAGATGTGGAGAAGCGGCCTGCTTCACTGCCACTCTGGTTAATCTGAACCTGAGTTTGAATTCAAGTACAAAAATACCATTGTGACTAAAGTATCTGTATACAAACTTCAAATAGCATACGTCGTCTTTGATGTATTTAATTAGCATCAGGAAGAAGACCAGAGTGAGTAGGAGGAATTTCTCTGTCTCTTTTCCTCTGGAATGCTGAAAATTTGTTCCTCTAGCTTAATGTAAAAGATGCGACATAGAAGCTTCAGAATCAGTTACTTTTTTCCCAGTACAGTGACTCACTGAGTTACACCATTAGTGCCCAGGCTTTTCTCAGTAGGAAGCTCAGTTAGGAAGCCACTGAGTAGACAGTTTTAGGACCTTAACTTTTTAGCCAACCTGCAGACTTTACATACCTCTAACTACCCACAAGACTACCGATTAAGCAGAAAGTATATGCTACCGCAAAAAAATGCTGATCCTCTTGCTCAAATTTTTTGTGCATTTTAAAAGCTCCTGAAAGATGGTGATACAGCTCAGTGGAAGAAATTAAAGATCATGCTACATAAATCACAACGTGCACTTTCAATCAGGCAGTAGAGAGGCTTTTGAAGGCAATGCCCGAGAGTTTTGGGATGCTCAGTAAAGGTAGCCTCAGCCTGACCAAAAGCTTCAGTAAATCTATGTAATCAACAGATGGAGAAGGACTTCTTTAGGAAGGGGTTCAGAAAAGGGGTCTTGGTGCTCACTGGAGGACCCTCTATCCTACTGAATGCGGTTCCACCTGTAGATACTAAAATAGCCTGGCATTTTAGGCAAGGATTTTAAATTGCTGACTCAGTCATTTTTGTAGACGTGGTGGATGGAGAAAACTCCCCATTCACGCCCCGTGACACCAGAAATTTCTGTGCCGTATGCTATTCACATTTTCTTAAAACAAATAGCGTGCTGGAAAAGGGCTTTTCCCCTTCTAAGAACCTTTTTGACTTTGTTTCAGGAAAAGTTAGTAAGAACACAGTTGAATATCTAGGAAGATTGTGCAGTATTTTTCTTAGGAGACATTATGAGGAGGTGGTAGGTAACCCCTGGACTTTATTTCCCCTCTTTTCTCTTTTCCCTGCCTCAGCCAGCATCCAATTTGACATGTACACCATGGGTTGTACGGGAGGGTGGAGCAAGTACACATCAAATCTTGTTGATTCAACAACATATCAAGCTTTATTTGTTCCTTCTGCTCCTTCGATTCATCTGGTTTGAGCTTCTTCTGTCCAAAGAAGAGGGAGGATTGAAAGGCTCCACAAAAGACTCTGAGATACCAGCCTTATTATCCTGGTATACTGCTGGAAGTTCAAGCAAACCCTGCTGTAAACATTCTCTTTGGGCAGGGATCTAGCTCTTCATAATTGTTTGTAAAATGCCTAGCACAGGTTCGCTGCTGAGATATAAAAAAACACAGCAGAAGTTGCAGTTTCCAGTATAAATATATAGTAAGGAGACAGTACAGCAGCATAATGCAGTCCAACAATCTTTCTAAAAGTACCCCTGAAGTGATAAACCATCCCCACGTGGCACTCCACTGGCATCAGAGGAGCTCTGCAGAAATACACTCTAGCTCCCCCATGAGACAACTTTGAGTCACCTTCCAAGACTTTGCAGTAGCATAATCATGTCTGAGCAAGAACAACTATCTTGGCTTGTTTTCTTTCTCTTTTGCTTATGTGCGCTTTGAGTCACTACAGAAGACATCAATTATAGATGAAGCTCTTAGGTTTCCCTAAACAGAAGCGTAGTGAGTATTGGGTTGTTAATATTTCATCTCTGTAAAATCACATTCAAAGCATTTCTGCTTTTCCTTCAAAGTGCCTAGAAGACCCTCCTGGTTCATTGTTTCCTATGTTGCTGTATATCCCAGAAAAGCAGTTGAGGCAGACAATGTGGTATTTTGTTCTGGTGCCTTCTGGTAATGCTTAGAAATATAGAAAACATCGTGATTATACAAAAAGTGTTGATGAGATGTGGGCTTGATGAGACTTCAGTAGAGATTAATTGTAATAGCAAAAATTATTGTAAGTATGTTGAGTTCTTTCAATTCCTCTAAACAGAATATGTGAAGCTGGTACAATATATGCACCTCCCATTCCTGGATTTTGGATTTAACAGTAGCACAGCTATCAACTATGAGAGTGAGCACTATTTTGGGCCATTTTCAGGAAACAGTTGGGGCACCCCAGTAGGATCCCTGTTTGTGTGAGGTCCTGGTAGGAGCCAAGCACTCTGCTTGCAGTGTGACTCAATGCCTCTCCCTTGTCTTGTGATTAAAGGTGACCTGTTGGTGGGTCACTGAGCAGCAGAGAACCATGGAAGGATAGTTTGGCTGCTGGGTGGCACAAGGTGAGAATTAATTGTTTGAATTTCATGCTTAGCGTGCGAGACTTGACAGAGCTGAGTACACTCAAATAACAGCCCTGAAAAGCAAACATCAGCTTTCTTCCCAGGTTTGGCCACAGGACTGCCATCTCTGGGCCTACACCTCTGCTGCTCTTGGGCCTTCCCCAGGAGGCAGAAGCAGCCAAGCACACAGACCTGTGCACCCCTTCCAGAGCTGCCATCAGGGATTCTTTTTTGTCCTTTTGATGGTTTTACTTGGCTGTTTCCTTTCAGAAGTGAGTCTTCTTGGTGGATTTGTTTGCCTTTAAACAGGAGAAGATGATGGTGGAGCTTTATGGCAGCTGTAGCAAGAGAAGAGCTGATGACAGAATAAGGGCTAACGAAGGACTGACGGACAGAGCCAGCAACAATGATTTGGCTCAGTCGAGGTCGGTGGTGCTTGGTACTAACTGCCACTCTGGGGGTCGGAGTGAGGGGGAAGAGGGAGAGGAGTGCCAGGGCTGGTGCGATGGAGCGGTTTGAGTCAGTGACTGTCCCTGGGCTCGTTTTTGGATGATTGTTCTTGTGTAGTTTGAAATCTAAGTGACACAGCAGATGATGGTGCTTCCCTCTGTTGGCATTATGGTTAAAGTTGTCTAGGGGATATAAAATGAATCAACACCTGAGATGTAGCTGGCTGCCTACGGTAGGTCTGTCTCATGGGCTTCTGCACACACTGTGGCAACCAGTCCAAGGGTGTGGGAGAGGTGATTGGCGCTGAGGTTTGCACTGGAGGATATAAGATCTCACTGTGCTGTGTCACCTGGTGCCATGGCCCCATCCCCATCACACCATCCCATGTGCCGGTCCTGAACTGGTGTGTTGTGGAAGATGATACCTGGGACATCTCTGGAACTTCTTTCTTAGCCTGGGTACCTTACCATGTGCGGAATATTTATTTAGCACAGCTTTCTTCCATTCTTTTAGCAATTGTTCACTGTCAAAATAGTGACTGAAGCTATTTGGAGGCTCTTGTAGCTGCAGCCTGATCATGCAATATTCCCTTCAGGCCCTAAGATGTTTTTGCCAGTGGCAGGAAGAGCAAACCAACCTGTTACCTTCACTTCTCCTCTCGACTTCCCTCAAAACCATGTTGTAGTTTTCCACAGGGAGGCCAAGGTGAACTCACGTGTCTGCAGATCTTAACGTGACTTCTGCCATGGTTCCTGATTTAGACATACTCAGTGCTACATTGTCAAATAAAGCTGGGGAGGCTGGTCAAGTTACTCACTGTGAGACTGAAGCAAAGGCCTCTTTTCTACCATCTGATGGCCCAGCTTTCACCTCTGGGTGCAAGCCTGGGGGGAGGAATATCACCCTAGAGGGAGGTGAGACCAGCACTCCACAAGAGACTGCAAAGATTATTAAACAAGGATTTTTTTTTATGCAGTTTTTTAACCACCAACAAAATGCTTTATTCTATTCAACACATTTTATAACAAGAAAAAAAAAAAGCAGTTTGCTTTTTTTCTTTTAATCTTGTGATAAATATGTGACATTTTTTAAAAGAAAGGTGGTATAAAACCCAAATTTGTGTTTGTAATGTTCTGAGATGCAATTGTATCTTGGTTGTCTTTGGGAGCAAGGGATCAATGTGAAAGTAAATAAAAAATGAATTGAGGCATAATTATGTGCTGTTCATATTTTTAAACACTACTAAACTGGGGGAGATGTGAGTGTGGTAGAGAATTTTAGCATATCTGAATGTAGCTGATGACTGCCTTCCTGCTGCAGTCACTCTCCAAAATAAGAAATTGGCTCTGTTACATTATATAACCGCTGCTAGCAACCGCTCAGTCACTTCTTTGGAAACTTCATCAGCGCAACCCCCAGGTCTTTTCGAGTCTAGTGCTGCCTTATGGTGACTGCTGTTTTAAGAGTGGAGTGGCATTATAAAATATAAAATAGTATGTTGGTGACGAAACCAAGGAGATAGACATGAGATTTTTCTACAGCTTGTTTTGTTGGTGAAAATGACAATAAACAGATTCAGTAGTGATGACAATCTCATTTTCTGTCCTATTTCCTCCATTTGATTACTTTCCTACATGCACAACTGAACTTCTTTCTCCATGCAGTCTCTAAGGCTCCCAGGCTTCTGAGCACCTCTCAGTGCTGAGGTCCATTATCCTGGCTTTCAGAAGTTTCCTGGGCTTCACAGCAGCTTTTTGGCTCTTGCACTTGCTGTTTTCTTTAGGCATGGAGGGGCGTTCAGGCAACTGCCTTATGCCATGGGTAGGAGGGAGAATACCCATGCTTTTGAGATGCTTCGGACATGGAAACTGTCACTCTCTGAAGCCATTTTCCCTGCCTGGCTATCCAGCACAGAGTAAAGCTTAGCGGTGACCTGGGTGGTAGGGAGGTTCTGCTGAGCCGATGATGCAGAAATGGCATTACACTGGCAAAAGGCAAGAGTTACTAAGGGAATCAGCAAAGAGACACAGTAACAGCAAGTCAGTAAATTCAACTATCTGTCATTAAGCTGTCAGATGTTATTGAAAGAGCAAGTCTGGACAGTTAACAGGGTAGGTAAAGCTGCTTCAGCAACTGCGGATGTCCTGCACTGCAGTGTGGTCTGCTAGTAGGTCATTGAGCTTTTCAAGGTAAGCTCCTGACAGGTACCTGTGATTTGAGAACCATCACATGAAATAAATGTTTTCCTCTTTATGACGTATAGCAGAAAATTTGAAGAAGACGGTGTTTGGGGGGATTTTTTTCAGTAGGACTGGGGAGAAGGGCAAAGAGAGTAGCAAAAATCAGCTTGCATGTCACACAGAGTGACACTAGGAGTACCATAGCTAGAATGAGAGACTGCTGTTCCTCCAGGTAAGTGCTTTACTCCATAAGAATTATAAAGAGTTTCTGTAAGAATTATTACCAATAAACATGAGTATCTTTGCTGTCACATTAAAATTCTTCACACTGCTATCAGAGACAAAATTTAGCTATAAGTGCAAAAAGAAAAACTAAAGAAACAAGAAATGCCCAAAGTTTAACTTTTACTATAATGGGAAAGATAAATTACAAGAATTGTTTGATAGCCTAGTCAGCTGGTAATAAGGTTAGTTTTTAGCAAAAGATGCTTAATAAAGTAATTCTCCTTTGAACTGTTAGAGCAGAGCAAACTAATGTGACATCTCAAAGACTTTGAATGAAGCATTTATTACATAGTTTCACAGCTCAAACTTTCTTCCCTTTCATTTTTAGATCTTAGAAATTATTACATTCTGCATTCTCCTTTATTTTTACAAAAGAAAGGCTGTGAAGCACATCATGGTTTTGCTAATGATGGTAGCACTACTGGGTAAGAATGTATTATTCACTTTAATGTTCCTGTCTATTACTTTTTAATTCCTTGTCACTCAGTCTCCCCAGCTAGTTTTGATTAGGGACATTTCAAAGCAGTATGCTGAGGGAGAATCATTGAAACATTTCACATGATTTTTACTGTACTCTCTTTTTGAAGAGAAAAGTCTGATAGGAAACACAGTTTCTATGGTCAATGCTAGGACTATTTCTTTTTACACATTCCCTGAAATTACTATGCTGTGTGCAAATGTATTCTGAAGGTTTTTTTAAACAACACTTTAGCTTTAGATCGTGGGAAAGAGGACAGTTTGAAACCTTCTTTTGGAGAGCAGACTAGCTGTGAAAATCAGTTCTTTAAAACAGAGCAGCTTAAGACCTTGTGAGCACTCTGTAAGCAAATGCAGTGATATGCTGTGACTATACAGAAATTTTTAATTGAATTAGCTATGCCTGATTGCATATGTCACATTTTGTACCTTACCACATTTCCAGAAGCATAACAAGAACGCAGTGGGCCACTGAAGTTTGCCTTCAATCAATACTCACGAAAAAAAGGGAGATTATTTTATCAAGCAGCTTTCAATAAAGTTAAACTTGAATCAGTTTTGAAAAATGTCAGGAGGCCATCTCTAGAGCTCCACCACCTGCAGGCATATGTTAAGAATTTATCACCACCTCATATCTTCTCCCTTCCTTGTCTTGTTGCTTCACCACGAAATCCTGATAGGACACCACATTTCTGTGGTTGAAGCGAAAGGTGCTTGCACTGTGCCATTGAAGTCAATGATTATATTTTCACTGAGTTTAACGAGTGCATGCATCAATCTGCAGAGACTTATAAAGTACATTTCTAATAGAGCTGGTCATGAGCATTTTGATAAAACAGAATTTCACCGAAGTTTTCTAGTTACACAATTTATATTTAACTGAATGTGAAAAACCCTCACAGATTTATTAACTGCTTTCCTTCAGATCCCTGCCTGGTTTCTTAACCAGCTGAAAAACTCAGACTTTTGGATCAACTGTTTCGGGACTGTCTTCCCATTTAAATTTCCCAGTGCTAGGCACATTAGGATCTGTACCTCTTCAGAAGCCTTGAAGGATTTCCATGCTCCCTACATAAGGCAGAGATGGAAGGGCCCCAAAAGCCTTAGTTCTAACTGACTGCTCTTGGTTTGGAGGAGTGAAGTGTGAGTCCAGCCATTCCTCAGCTCCTAGCATCGAGCCTGGGAACTTTGGCAGAGTTCGCTTGAGCTGCTCTGCAGCCTCCAACCCTGCCATGAGGAGCATGAAGCACTGTGTGGTCATAAGCAATGAGGAGGTCCAGCCTCCTTGTATAACTGGAAGCCTAAGATCCCCAGATGGGCTTCAATACTTGAATGCTGCAGTTCTGGGCAGACCCATCATGATGGCTGCCCCAAGCGAAGTCAACACATGACTCCAGGAGGCCTGGGCCATTGGGCTGCGTAGCCCCATGTGCTTATTTTGCCATGGAACCTGCCAGCTCTGATGCCACTGGTGCCAAAGGGGCGCATGGAGCTGCTGAACAGCAGCAGGGTTGCAAACCCATGCCACAGCAGGCACCAACTGCAGTTTGGTGGTCAGGCTGCACTCAACCAAAAATAACAATTTCAGCTGGTGGCTGCTGAGGTTTTGGTGAGCATATGCAGCTTCAGGAAAAATGTGTCATTATGTCTGTCCTATTAAACAAGACACAAACAAACAAATCCTGCTTCATGGGAACTTTTGAAATACTGACATTTCTCTTGAGCAGGAAACCCAGAACTATGGCTGGCTCCCGTTCCTGCAGCCATCCTGGTGCCTGGCAGTCACCACAAAGCTACACTTGGAGCCCTCTGCTTGCTCTCTGGTCTTTCTGCTGAGCAAAGTGATGAGGAGCCGAGAGAAGGCTCAGCAGCTTTGCTCCCAGCCGTCTGACACACACACTACTCTCGGAAGGCTCTGGCTGCAAGAGGGGTGGATAGGGCTTGGGGTGTCTGTGGCAGCTTGTGGAAGGGAGTTCTACTTTTTCTCATGTCTGCACAGATTCATTCCTGGTGGAGAGTTTGTACAGATGCAAATGAAATGTAGAAAGGTTTCTTTAAAGAGAGGGCGGCCTTTGTTTCACTGGATATGAGCGCTGCTGTCATTACGAATTTCAGATTACAGTGGGATTTCTGAGTTTCCTGCCCTAACAGCTGGAAGGTGACAACATTTGTCACACTAGCCTTGGGGTGGGGGTCATTCTATCAGAGATAGGAAAACCTTTTCCTTGATTTTGAAACTTATTTCAGGGCTACTTTAGTTAAAAGATTATTCCACTCTTCAATAAAACCAAAGCAAAACAAAAAAAAACCTTTATGCTTTCTTTTCTGATTTGTTAAAATCATAAGGGATGGAAACTGCCCTTTTATCCGAAACAGCTTTTCAGCCTCTTTACCTTTAGTTGGACTGTTCAAACTACTAATTTTTACCTGTAAGTGTTCTTTTAAAATAACAGCTCCCCCATGTTAGAGTGCAAATCTCAGTTTTTCTGTAGGCTTCTTGATGGGGCTTGAGTGTATTTTTTCGCTTTTTATCATACCATTAGTGCCAGTGCAGGCCAGCATTTGACCCCCTCTGCTCACTTTTACTGCTGTGTTTGTTAAACCGCTCCACCAATTTCAATTACAGAGCAAGAAGTAAAGTACTTGGTGGAAAGGTTGTCATGAAAACAGTGAATTTCGTGACAGTTAACAGGATCATCACAAGATATATGCAACTTCTGAACTCCTCCTGAACTTTTGGACTTGCTATAAGAAAAATGCTTGCAATGAAAACCACAGACCTGAATCTATTCTTCCTCCACTTTTTCTCCCAGCCCTTGGCTTGAACCTTTTGCACAGTGCAACTCTCCTTGGCAATCTGAATTTTGCAGTTCTGAGAGGATGAATCAGACCACCAAAATCCTACACTCCTCAGCCCTGGAAGAGGCTGGAACAGGATCCCAGCTGGGGGACAGTGTTCCTGACAATTAATTACTTTTCTTCAAAGGTCATCTCCGCACCCTGACTCTTCTTATCATTTTTAGTTTCTTTAAAATTTGTTACATTTTACTTGCAGTAATCACAGCTTACTTGGGTTAGCTTCAACAAACCAAGAGCCCGCTTCAAAAGCGAATCTAAAATAACTCTTAGCTGAACTGTCAGCCCCTTTTCTAAAAGATGTGTATTGCAAGACTTCTCTGAACTGGAGACATGTATTAAAACCATTGCCTGCTGTCTGAGATTTGTTTGTGGTGATGCAATGACAATGACTAAATGGATTGAAAACACACTACTGAAGTAGTCTATTTTGTGGGCTAAATCCAGTAAATGGTCTTAAAAGCCTGGCCTCTGAAATAAAACGCAGACCCCTATGTTGGTTGTCTGCTCTCTGTAGGTAACCCATGGGGTGAGTTAGATGCTTCGTGATGTGATACCAAAAGTCAGCTTTGCCTGGCGTTGACCAGCTCCATTCTCAGCAGAGAAATCCTAAGGGTGACGAGTTATTTGAGGCTGCCGGTGTCACATGCAGGCTGCTACACACAGGAGTCCTACCTGGCAAGATTTTATCAGACTCTAACCTCACCTACTCCAGGGAAATTTTGGGTAGATGCAGGGTTGCAGACCTCAATGCTACAAGAATTTGAAAGTAAAACTCAAAGCACACATGGAGTTAAGGCCACTCTAAGTTTAAGCGACAGCTTAGTGAGCGTGTATAAAATCACACACTTGGTTTTAGGTGTCCAAATCCTACCTCAGTGTCTTTTTAGGTGATCAGACCTGTGGCTCTGGCCTGGCACCTTTTCCTCCCTCACTGATCCTTGGACATCCTGCTGTGAATCCTGCCCTACTAATCTCTCCTTTTCCCTTTCAGCATCTCTGACTGTCATTGCTGTAAAGGCTGTGGCCAGCATGATAATGCTGTCTGCAAAGGGGAAAATGCAGCTGACATATCCTGTGTTCTATATCATGATTATTTTAATGGCAACTTCTTGTGCTTTCCAAGTCAAGTAAGTGAATTTCTACTTATCTCCTAACCTTTGTACTCACTTATCTGTCAGTTTTGTTCAACACTGATATTGACTCTGGATCGAAGTCGCACTCAAAGGCAACAAAATTCCTGGCAGAGCCTTGTCAGATGCATGAATTGCCTACACTGATTATATTGTTTATTTAGGCTTTATTTCTCAGTTCATAATTCATTATCAATTACACAGATGCTACCTCATTTCATTACCACTTTATACAAGGTCTTCCCAAATTTAGTTCTAGTTTTGGCACGTTTTGCACTCATAAAATGAAATTTATATTTATGTAATTTTGTTGTTATTGTTACTTCTAGCAACCTTCATTGCTGAATAATCAAGCGACCCCTTTTACCCTCATTATCCACCTCTTTTCCCTAGCTTGTGTCACTCGTCAGATCAAAGAAGAAGGTTTACCCTGACTTTCTCACTGCGTCTTGTTAAATCTTGTTAAAGCATGTTGTGCTTTGCTACCCTGTATGTCTGTACCTTTTTAGGAAATAGTTAACTTCTAGTGTGCAGGGGACATCAGAGTTTTCCCTGTTGGCCTCTGGCCTGTAACGTGATTGTTTTATGCTGCCTTCGCAGATTGCTGGGGGTGGCAGCATGGTAAAATATGGCTTGCAGCTGAACAGAGAGTCCGTTCCCTTTATGCTGGTCCCTCTGCTTCAGATGCTGATAGCATCATTCAGTAATGTCCTCTAGACTGCTCCAGTGCTAGTCTGAGTGTTTACTTGCATGATTATTTTCCGGTAGAAGAGCCAACCCAGCTTTCTCGTGGCAGAACATACCATTCCCATGTGGAATCTGCAAGTCCATGCGTTATTATGCAGTGACTCTCCATGGCTGACTCAGGAACTCCCCTGTAACAGATTATAGAGTGATTTACCTCCAACTTGTCTTCACTGGGAGAACAGCTCAGAAATAAAAGCTTGGTAAATAGGAAGCTGCTGAATTAACCTCTCCTTCTTGTCAGTTTTTGATTCTTTGATTTGCTGGGTCAAAATTAAAACAGAAGTGAAATGTGCCCGTTCCATTCCCTGGGCTCAGCATCTCTTTCTCTCTTCTCTGTTGGACACATTCTCTAACAGACAGTGCTGTCACTCTAAATTTTTCATTTTATTTGTTTCCTCTCTTATTTTATTTGACTATCGTGTGGTAGCTCAGAACAGCCTGTGCTGCAACATCCTGAATTCAATCCTGGGCCTTGATATCACTGTTTTAGTCCCTGTGACCAAATTTGTTGCAAATGGGAGAAAGTAATGAGGTGTTTTCAATGACTTCAAAATCCTGACTATCCTGTGGATATGTAGGATTTCTTTATTTTTAAAGCGCCATGGAGACTGTTCAACAGTTGCTAAAATAACCATGCAATTACTTTAATGGCTAAAACAGATCCAAGTTTGGATTTTTACTGTGCACATATATTGTACTAGTGAAACATTTAAGTGTGGTTCTTTTTATAGGTTTTGAATACACTCTGCAGCCTCCTGATTTTTCTCTTTCAGTCTGAAATGCACCATTCACGTAACAGAGTATCTGCTGGTGCATCCGAGACTTCACACTCATGATTCATCACCCTATGGGTAAACGTTGATAGCTGTGGTCTCCGTACAAGTGGGTTAATTGTTTTGCCTTTTTCATCTGCTGATGCAGACTGCGCAGGCTGCTCCATGGCCCAGTGCCTCAGTCCTGCAGGTTTGTGTGCAGTGTACGCTCCTGGGGTCCTGCACGCTCTTGGTCATGATTCTGGTGAGAATTTGTGTTACCTTTCTGAGGAGCACAGCGGAGAGTTTCCGACCCAAGGAGCACAGCCTTGGAGCCTCCTTCCTGGACTTTCCCGGCAGGACAGAGTGTGTCTGCGGTATGATTGCATGGGCAAACATACAAATACGTGTTTTTGCCGAGTTGGATTGAGCAGTAGCAGCAATGTGGACTTCAGCAAAGTGAAACAGTTCCTACAAGAACTCGCATGTTCATGCTCGTGCTGGAAACACACCCTTATACAACCTGTTTAAATTAGAGCAACTTGTCCCTGGCTGATCGCAGGCAGCACTGCTTCCAAGAATCGATGCAGACCATAAGCAGTAATACCCTAGCATTCCTCCCTTATCTGTGGCAGACAAATTTTTTCCAACAGTGCTTCAAAGGAATCTCCAATGACAGCCTATGGCCAGAAGAATCCGTGCCAATCTTCCTGCTTTTGCCTATTTGTACTCTGCAGAGTCAAAACCAGAAGGTAAACTAAGTACACACACACGTCTGTCCAGGGCTACTTGCTATTGTGGTAAGAAATGGTCACACTTACTGTTAAACTGACATAAAGTGGCTTAACCTGACTTAAAATGCAATGAGCCTCTTGTAGACATGAGGTGCAATAACACTTGTCTTCCAGATTCTTGAATCAAGCAACACATCTGTACGAAGCGACAGAAGTTGTGCCTATTAATTTTGTGTTGTTCACCACCAGTGCCATCATTTCAGGTTTGTTTCTGGCCTTCTTCCTCTACAGAATGATTTTCTAAACATTAGGTTTTCAAGAATTACTGTCTGTGAACAGGAATGAAAACCAGTCATGTTTGTCTTCATAAAAAAGTTGTTTTTCCTCAGTGACAGGTGTTTAAGTTCTGAAAAATGAGTAAGTTCACAACATTTGAAGCGAAATAAAGCTAATCAAATTCTAGCATTTCCAGAATTGACATGTACGGTTTGCTGTGCCTTACTGCTTATTAGAAGTACCTGCATTTATTCGAGCCTCATCTTGACATCCAGTAAATGCGTTTCCCATGTGCACACCAGCCTCTCTATGTCCGAACTGGTAGAGTAATTTTAACAGCCTGGCAAACTACTCAAATGACAACCAGCTGTGTTTCGTAGTAGTTAGTGTATGTTCCATTTCAGAAGGTGGAATTCTAGGTTAAGTGAAGGAAATAAAATGACTCCAAAGACCTTTTAAGCATTTAACATTTTATTCTGGGTGAGAACTTTGAACTCAGCATTGTTAAAGAGAGACTGCAAATCTTGGAAATGGTGCGCAGCGTAAAAACACAAGCAGGGAGGACAACTGTGATGCTGTATCAGCAATGAGCCAAAATGATCATGTTGTTAGAACATTTATGACTCATTTTAGCACACACTGGAGGCTTTCCTGTCATTGCTGTGCAGGAGTTTCTCATGCAGAGCTGCCATTAATGAGAAGGGGAGTTAGCTTCACACACAGATTGCCTCAGCACCTGTGTTAGAAGAGATCTACACTCTGTGACTGAGAGGAGACTGGTGCCAAAAGGGGCTTGCGTTCTTGTGACCATATGGAGAATTTGGCCTTGTGCCTCCTTAAAAGATCAAGTACCTATTCAGGACTGGCTTAATAGCTTTGAGACTGGATACACATGCATTTGCACCAGGTTAGTCAAACCAGCGTAGAGCTTAGGAGAACAACCTCTGCTGAATCTTGCTGGGGTGCAAGAAGATACCTCATCTCTTGATTCCCCCATCCCAAGTTACAGCCTTTGAAGATACAGTCACACTTCAGCTGCTCTGGTTCACACTCCGGCATTTCTAAGCGAAACTATGCTCATCAGTGGTTTAAAGCTAATATACTTGGCTGTGAATTGGGGCAGCTGAGATCCAGACACACATCTGGTTCTGTCACCTCCACTGCAGAGGTGCTAATTCCTAGAAGAGGGGTGACCAGAAAGAGCTAGTGATTCCTTTAGCCAGAAAGATTTTGAAAACTTGGCTGCTGGAGCCCTTAACTTGGTGTAAATATCAGGGATACAGCTAGTTACCGAAAACCTGTTCCCAATTGGAGTTAAGATGTCCACGTGGTCTGTTGGAGTGGCTTAACAAAATCCATGAAGAACCTGTTAGCTATGTTGCTATGACTCTGGTTGTGAATAAGACGTTGAGTTTGACCTGCTTAAAAACTGTTGCTGACGATGCAAAAGATACCTGAATCTGTGCACTTACTGACACAGCACATGTTCCAGCCTGATAGACTGTATCTTCTCCAGTCCCATGCTGTGTCTTGAGAAAGCCTAGATAATGGAATATGGGCACATCAAGTGAACCCATCACAATGTGCATTAATACCTTATTTGGGATTTTTTTTTGCTCCATTTGAGCATGACACTGCTCCTGACCCTCCCAGCTGTGATTCATATCACTTGGAAGCCAGTCAAGATCTGCAATTCTTGTTTCTGTCACATTCCAGGGGTCATATTTTATCGGGAATTCCAAAGTGCAGCTTTGCTGAGCGTGTTCATGTTTCTGTTCGGGTAAGTGTATCGGCCTAAAATCTGCATAACGTTTGTACTGAAACAGCATCAGCTTGCAGAATCCCTTTTTTTCTCAGTAAGAAGAAACCCGTCTTGTTATTAAAGTATTATGGAATAGCCATTATAGTAGGATAAAAAAACATTAAAGGAAAGATTAATGTCTGTGCTTTGGGAGTTTGAAGGCCTGGTTTTCAATCCAAATATGTAAAAATGTGAGACACTTATGAACTACTAATCTCATGATGGAATGAAAAACCAGCAGCATGTGTTCCTCCAGCAGGAAGGAGAAATCACTGCTCTCCGCCAAAGATCACATTATAGAGGGTGCGTGCTTTTACAACTGTGAGAAATCTCCTCCCATGTTACCTTCCACTTGCATGTCCGGCTGGTCTTCGCTGCCATTAGGCGTGGGCAATTACATGAGTTGCTTGCCTACGAGGCAGTGCTATAATATCTCTCCATCATCTTCCTGTGCCTAGAAAGACACAGCAAGGACACTGTGGAAAATTCAGAGCACGCTAAGAAGCTGTTAACAATAAATATTTGAAGAAGGGTCTAGATGTTGTGAGAACAGCTTCTGTGGGCTACCAGCACTGTAACAACTCAAGGGACAGGTGACGGTTACTTGATAACAGGTGTGAGATGGTTAAAAGCGTCTTCTAGAACTGCTGGAGGTGTCTTGCCACAGTGCTGTCAAATAAAGGGGCTTGATAGCTACAGACGTCTTCATGCTCTGCAGTCGGACCGGAGTAGGTGCACACAACAGCTATCTTGTTTGACTGCAGGAAAAGTGACAGAAAATGGAGATGAGCAAATTCAACCCATGTCTTTGGCAGGCCGGAATTAGTGGTTGTGTGTCCAACACAGAGCGGATAGAAGATTTATCCAAGCATAGCAGTTTCTCACTGCCCCTGGCTTGCAGCTTGCCCCTGAGACACACAGTCAAAAGAGAAAAACAACAGAGATGTTGATTGTCTGCAGCTAGACCGAGTTGTTAATGAAATTGCAAATGCTAGAATGCTAGCTTAGGCGCTCTGTGAAGATTTGCTCAGGGATTCAAACGCTGTAGTCTCACACTCACAGGCATTTGATTTAGTATATATTGTGGAAAGTGTAATTTTGCCTGCGGAGCCTTTGGAACTGATAATAAAGCTTCAGAAGGCAAAAACTGGATCAAAAGGGAGCTCAAGCTGAATTTATAGAGCTGCCAGGAAGAAAAGTTTTTTTATAAACTGAGCAGCTTGGCTTTGGAAGTCCTTGAAAAAGAAACTTGGAAAGAAATTCTCATCTCAGATGCAGTGAACTGTTTCTAATGATACTATGCCACTGTTATTTTGCAGGTGTCTCCTATCTTTCCTTGGTGTATTTGTAATTGCAAGAAATAAAAAAGAGGAGCATTTACAAATTCCTTTTATTGACTGTGGACATATTCCTGGTAAGTAGGGCTTTTTTTCTGTCTCTCTGTTTAAAAATGAAATATCAGATAATGGGATGGCCTAGGAGAGTTGAGTCATAAATGTGCTCTAGTCATATTTAATAAATATACTGTTCTCTTATTTTCTATTCCTGTTCCCAACAGATTTTTCAAAGAATTTTTCAGAGTTTTTCCAAGCTATTGTTACAACCAGTCAAATGAAAACAATGATTACTGGAGCAAAGAATGTTTAAAAGATGGATTGGTGGGGGATTTGTTTTATTAAAATTCTTCACAGAGTTGTTGTTTTTCCCTTCTCTCACCCCGTTTCCTTAGGACAAAAATTGACAGGCAAAATACAACCAGATTCTCACAGTTCACTCTATGGCACTTTGAATAATGAACATGACTCGGTGAAAAGTCAAAGCTGAAAGAAGAAAGCACCTTACTTGCCAATTAACGGGAAGAACACCACTGGAACAAGGATCAGCAGGACCTTTTCGTGGAACATATTCAAGTATACATTGAACTCCTGTATGTTGATGAGTCACAGTATTATTTAATCCTACGTAATTTATCCCATGGCTGTTGCAAATGTGTTCTGAAGATAAAGGAAACCTTAAGAAAAACTAAATAACCCTTAATGAAACTGAACATTCTCCTAGCATCAGTGCTCCTTGGGGATATTTTTAGAGTTTTAATTGCCTTGAAATGCTAATAGGCACAGAACAGGATTATAAAAATTCCTCTTTGAAACCCCCCATGTCTATGTAGATGCTTAGAGACAAAGGTGCAAATGAGAAGAATTTTCATAAGTTACTCCAAAGTACCCTACTATTTGTATAATACCTTTAAAAATCTGATCCTTCCTGTCCAGGAGTCAAAACTGTGGGCATCTATACAGTATACACAAATATGTACACACAGAGTATTTTATGTTATGTGTAGAGGGAAAATCCTGATTATCTTCTGCCATTAGACGAATTTTCTTGTCTTCCGAGGAAATAAACACTTGTTCGAGGAGGGGGAAGGAAGAGACCATTTGCCATAAACATAGGCACTTGCACACATGCACACATTCATGGTGCCCAGCCAGGGCAGAGCTAGGGAACTACACTTGAGATTTTACATCTTCACAGGTGAGTCTGGTGCACTGGGCTGGACTGGGCTGGGCTGTACTATCTGTGAGTATAGTCTAGCCTGACGTTTAGCCTCTGTTTTCAGGAAAACAAGGTCTTAGTGAAGAAAGTGCAAAGTTCTCCAGAGGGAATGGGGTAGCCACACTCCCTCTCTTGATGTATCTTGGAAAAATATTCCTAAAAAAGAAAAATAGGGCAACTTCAGCTTCCTCCCTAAACCACTGGTAATCCTGGATGAGGAAAGGCTGTAAAAAAAAGGATCGCAAAGAGTCATGGTAACAGTACAATTTTTACTTCATTAAATGGTAGCGTCTCCATGCTGATTTGAAGAGCCAGCAGTGATGGGAACCATGTCTACACAGGCTCTGTGTTCAGGTCTGGGAGGTCTCAGTGTCCTTCAGTCCCAACCTCCTGGCAAGAAAGCTGCTTCTGAGCAGTCATCGTGGGTCCACTTAACCCTGCCTGGTAGAAACAATCTAAATCAGCTGGCACAGTGGCGGTCAGACACCTCCTCTGTAGAACAAGTGAAAGTGCTCTTGAAAAGTGTTCACATGTTGGACAAGATACTTCTGTTAGGTTTGAATTCATCATAGAATCATAGAATGGTTTGAGTTGGAAAGGACCTTAAAGATCATCTAGTTTCAACCTCCTTGCCACAGGCAGGGACACCTTCCAATATGTCAGGTTTCTCAAAGCCTCATCCGACCTGGCCTTGAACACTTCCAGGGATGGGGCATCCATGACTTCTCTGGGCAACCTGTTCCAGTGTCTCACCACCCTCAAAACGAATAATTTCTTCCTTAGATCTAACCTAAGTCTATCCTCTTTCAGTTTAAAGCCATTGCCCCTTGTCCTATCACTACATGCCCTTGTAAAAAGTCCCTCTCCAGCTTTCTTGTAGGCCCCTTCAGGTACTGGAAGGCTGCTAGAAGGTCTCCGTGGAGCCTTCTCTTCTCCAGGCTGAACAACCTCAACTCTCTCAGCCTGTCGTCATAGGAGAGGAGCTCCAGGTCTCGGATCGTCTTCATGGCCCTCCTCTGAACCCCCTCCATCAGCTCCATGTCCTTCTTGTGTTGGGGCCCCAGAGCTATATTCCAGGTGCGGTCTCACAAGAGCAGAGTAGAGGAGGAGGATCACTTCCCTCGACCTGCTGGCCATGCTTCTTTTGATGCAGCCCAGAATACGGTTGGCTTTCTGGGCTGCAAGAGCACATCTGCACAATCTGCAGTAATGGATAGGGGGGGTAGGCTGTGTGTATTTTGTTTCTGTAGGGAAATGAGGTCTCTTTTTTTTCCCAAATAATTGTTTATTTCATTTTAAAATAGATACAGCTGAAGATCCATAAGACACTTTCATTTCAAACCCTACAAAATGCACAGAGCGCCACAGTTTTTTCTATGCAGCAAGGTCTGGGGAGCCAGGGCACAGGGCAGGGGGTTGTGAAGTTGTCTTCCAATGTGGATCTTTTCCAGCTGGCACAGGACAAGAGTCTGTGTCTGCACGTTACTTGTACCAGCTCCCTGGCCGTGGCCTTCCTTTCCCCTCTTACAGCTTGAGTTCAAGTTTCTAAAGCTTAAAATAAATTTTAAAAAAAGCAGTCTTTTTGTATGCTTTCTCCAGGGAATAAGAGCATGCCTCTACTTTTCTTTTGCAAGTCAAATTTAAGCCACTTTCTAAGTCTCAAGTGAGAATGTGTGCTAAAGATGGAAATAGGAGGTCTACAGTTTTTCATTCTGTGACCTGGGAAACAAATGGGTGAAAGGATTTGGATTTGGTTCTTTTTTAAATGATTAGCCTTGGACATCTTTCCAAAATCTGTTTCCATGATTCCGGAGGGCTGAAGGAGATAATAAAGGTTACCAGGTACAGGATTTTCTCTTTAAAACAGGAAGTAAAACATAAAAATCTGTGGCAAAGTTTATTATTTACTTTAAACTACTGTCTTCCTTCTTAATTTCTTCCTATGGGTTTATAAAAATTAATAGTTTTAAAAGTTAATAAGGGTTTAAATGTTTTCTGTAAACTTGAATGTAATTGAAATTAATTTATGGAGCAAAACACTGGCGAGAATTACGTGCAATTAAAACTTGTGATTTGACGTGATTTTTGAGATGTGAGCGTGTTCCAAGTAATTAATGTATGACAAGATTGGAAAAACTCAGTGGTGAGAATGCATTACAGCTCTGCCAAGAAAGGGACATGATGTGTTTCAAAAATCAGTTTCTAATCAATGTCATTTTCAGATTCTGCTTGAGATATTTAGGTTACAAAGACCACAGGCAAATGCCTGCTAGAAGAAAAGCCTTTTCACTGGAGTACAAAAGAGTCTCTGGAGCCCTTCTCTTTAATAATGAGTTATTTTCTTGTGTGGTTTTTTCCCAACATCAAAAATATGGGCCAGATATAAGCTGCAAAACTTGCACCTGCAGACTGAACTTTTTTGAACAGATTCTCCACGGGATCTGAGGAAATCAAACCACGGGAAGTCATGGTGGGCAGGCAGCCGCTCGCGTGGTCCTCCAGACTCTGGCTTGGGATTTTTGACAGACCAGAACCAGCAAGACTTGTTTAGCACTTGTTCCACTGCTGGTCATGCTGCGTAAGAGATGAAGTATTAACTGGCCATGGGCCTGGAAATGGGAGCTCTGGAGTAGAGTGAGGCCATTTCATTTTTGCCATAAAATATCAAGATGCATTTACCAAACCGTTTCAGCCAGCAAAAAATAAATTTTGGACTGGATTTGTATTTCTGCCCATGGTAGAGGCCTGGCAGGTTCCTCACTACTGCCCAGCTTTTGGTGGACTCATGTTTTGCGTGTAAGGGCGCTGGTCACCTAAAACCAGAGTAGAGAGGTTGGACATCATAAAGGCTTGAGCTGCTGTGCCTTGAAGCTGTGTTTTCATCCACCTTGTGAGCTGAATGAACAATCCAGTGCTGCTAAAATACTCACTCTCTTTTTCTGGGCTGTGAGGTCCTGCATGACCTGTGGCTCTCTGAGAACCAGTTCAGCCCACTCACCCACAGAAACCATCTGCTTTCTTCTCCTTGCTGGGCTGATTTTCCAAGCTGAGCCAACCAGGCTGACTGGAGCATTTGGCGAGAAGGAGAGAAAAATGAGGAGAGGGAGTGAGACCTGTTTTCTTTCGGGGGCAGTATTACATTACTTGCCTCCTTCTGAGGAACTTCACTGTACAGCAAACATAGTGCTGCTAGGCTTACTCCTCATGTGTCACCCTGTCCCAAATGCAGCAGTTATGAGCTTCTTGAAGCACTTTTAAGTATCTGACTCCTGAATCAAAACCCTGAGCCAGACTCACTGGACTGTGCACAGTGAGCGTTGAGTGGCTCCACATGGGGCTAAGATTGGCATCTTGTGGCATGAGGAGCCTCCTAAGGTCGGCTAGAAGCCCGGACACGTGTCTGACTATACAACTTGTTCTAAGGACTGATTTTTTTTCTTTCCATCAACTGTTTGCTGTAAGGTGAGTGAACAGTGCTGGAAGGATGGACTGGGACCAAAAGTGTTCTGAACTCAAAATGGTGTCCCCTTGTCTCTTCTTCCAACCCACTTTATGCAGGATCACTTGCAGAGAAAAGTGTTGACTCTGATAACATCGGGGTGCAGATGATTAGACAAAGCTGTCTTTCAGTTTGCCCTTTTGTTACTGTCCTCTGAGGCTTGGCCTTTTTCTTGTTTAAATTCGTTTGTTTATTCCTTTTGGAGAAATCAGCTGGACTATGTTAGCAACTAGCCCACAGGAGAGAGAGGCTAATTACCATAATTATTATTGGAGGGCCAAGCTGGAAGATTTACAACCTGAGGCCACTTCAGGAGAAAAAGAGAGAAATGTTTAGTGCTTTGGATTCTGAGGAGTTTAAGAAATCCTGTGTTTAAAATGTGTCTGGGTTAGGGGACAGAATTAAGGGCATCAGTGAATAGTGATTCCATGTATTTGTGTATGTGGTTTTAGTTTGGCTTTTTTTTCTTTATTTTTCACTGATTTAGGAGTGAAGGATGACTATTCTCTGCCTAGAGAAGCAGAGGAAATAAGACATCTCCTTGGCAGATGGGAGATGTTTCAGCCTTTTGAAGCTGAAGAAGTGTAGAAGCACCTTCCAAGCACCCTAGCTGAAGTAACCATTGAGTTATACAAGGAGGCAGCACTGACTAATACATTGCTACATATTAAGCAGTCATGACCATTTGGAAAGGATCTTTGTTGTCTTCTCATGTGTTAAATCTGTTCAGAGCACATATAGCTCATCTGGCCCCTTAGGTTGCACGTAAAAG